AGTCTGTAGGTTCTCTTTTGACTCTTTTGGTGAAGTCTTTTGAAGAGCATAGGTGTTTGATTTTTAGAAGATCCCAGTTATCTAGCTTATCTTCTGGGGTTTGTGTATTGATGGTTATGGTTTGTATCCTATTAATGCTGTGTATTAAGGCCTGTACTTCCAAAACTCAGCCAATGAAAACCCTAAGGATCACAATGGTCTGATCCTGTTGTGCATGGTGTACCTATGAGTCGGGGGCAACTCAACTGTAGCTAACAACAGCAATGGAGACAGTGGGAATAAGAGGGTGTTCCCAGGTTGGCATAAATGGTTAAGTACTTGGCTACTAACCTAAAAGTTGGAGATTTGAGTCCGCCTGGAGGCTCTTTGGAAGAAAGACCTGGCAATCTACTTTTGAAAAATCAGTCATTGAAAACCCTATGGAGCACAGTTCTACTCTAACACACAGAGTTGTCATGAGTCAGTGTTGACTCAACAGAAACTGTTTTCTCTTTTTTTTAATAAATAAGGAAACAGTGTGGTAATAACTACTAAAATATTATCACAGCACATGTCCAAGTGTCTTCTATAAGAAGGTTTCCTTATATTTGAACAAAATTCTTACCTAAGCTCTTGAAACGGGTCAGCTTGGACAAGTGGTGTCTCCACTGAATGTTCAAAAAGAGCCCCTTCAGGACCTAAACAAAAGGCACAGATGAATCAATAAAAAAGTACAATAAATAACATGAAACGAATTAAACAAATTAAGTGAGGATGGTGAAACTTTGGCTCATGTACTTTGGACATGTTATCAGGAGAGCCCAGTCCCTAGAGAAGGAATCATGCTTGGTAAAGTAGAGGGTCAGTGAAAAAGAGAAAAATCCTCAACGAGATGGATTGATACTGTTGCTGCAACAATGGGCTTAAACAGCAACGATTGTAAAGATGGCGAAGGACTGGGCAGTGTTTCGTTCTGTTGTACATAAGGTCTCTGAGTCTGAACTGACTCGATGGCACTTAACAACAACATCAGCAGGGAGGAACTAATTTAAATTAAGGCAGCAGGTATGATTTTGTATAGTAAAATGCAGTTGATCCAAAGCTTAAAATAAATAGACATTTGTGAACATATAGACTTTGTGGGCAAGGATTTCCAAAAAGAGCAATGGTCCAGGGTCAGGAAAATGTAAAGTGTGGCTAGGAAAGAAAGAATCATCCAGCTTATTGGGGAATTAAAGGCTTCAGTATAGAAATACAAATGAACCTTTCATATTCCATTTAGAGTCTTTCTCTGCTTGAGTTTTATGGGCATGCATACAGACAAGGTAAGCAGTACTATATGGCCTTTAGCCCCATCACCATTTCCTGAAGTGGCCTGTTCCTATCTGAGGGCCTGTCTCTGGTTCAGGGGCTGCAGCTCCATTTTACAAATAATTGTTTTTTTCTCACTCAGTTTCGAAAGGGCTCAGGAAGTATCCTCACATTGCGCAGTCTTTCACTTTAGGAAATATGGAAAACAATTAAAAGGTGTATTTTCTAATCTCCTTTGTACTAATTTTGATATTCCCCCCCACAAAACAAACAAACAAACAAACAAACAAAACCGGATGCCATCCAGTCAATTCCGACTCATGGCATGGTGAACCCGTGCGTGTCAGAATAGAACTGTGCTCCATAGGATGTTCAATGGCTATGATCTTTTGGAAGTAGCTTGCCAGACCTTTCTTCCAAGGCACCTCTGGATGGATTTAAACCACCAACATTTTGATTAGCTGCCGAATGCTTAATCATTTGCCCCATCCAGGGACTCCATTTTGATATTAGGCATTGAAAAAAATTGCTTGGGTCACTGCAGCAGGTGAAAGTTTCCTAGGAACGAGGATGAGACATCATAACCATGTGTGAAAGTTCTTGTCAGCAGCCCTTAAGTTAGGTGAAACATGCCCTCGTATTTTCTCCACAATACTACTATGTTGTTGTTAGTTGCTGTCGAGTCTGATCCAACTCGTGGTGACATTATATACAACAGAAGAAAACCTTACCGGGTCCTGTGCCATCTTCATGATTATTGGTATGTTTGAGCCCATTGTTGCAGCCCCTATGTCAATCCATCTCACGGAAGGTTTCCTTAGCTTTCACTGACCCTCCAAGTTACCAAAAATGATATCCTTTTCTAGTGATTAATCTTTCCTGATGATGTCCAAAGTAAGCAAGACAAGTCTTGTCATCTTCATTTCTAAGGAGCATTCTGGCTGTACTTCTTCCAAAAGTGATTTACTAACTGTACTAACCTTGTTATAATAACAGCTTCTCTAGTAATTTTGTTTAAATATGAAGACATAACAAAAGCTCATATTCAAAGTCCTTATAAAAAAATAATGGTTTGTGGCATGTAAGTAAAGGAGGCTTAAGCACAAAATGAAAATTTTAAATCATAAGAGAGATTTAGTAGCATAATGAACATAAAAATCATAATGAACAGAACATAAAGGAATATAAGTGAAGAGTAACTTTTTATGAAATTATAGTATATGCAACTTATATTCAGATAAAGAACAGATCCTCATATATATACACTATAACACATCTCTTTAAAATACTACTTAAGTCAAACCTAAATTATAATGGTGACCATTATGTAAAGTAAGATTACACCAAGCTTTGGAGTTTCCACAGTAAACTGTGCCAATCAAACTTCATAGTACAAGGTCTGGTTTGCCTGAAATATAGACATTTTTTTGGCTTGGAGGGGCTATAATTTAAGATGATAATTTGCTTCTCCTGATTTGCAAAATATAAAAGAAAAAATATATTTCAAGTCAATCACTAATAAGATAAGCAGAGATGTGCTAAGTATAGTTTCATACTTCAAGTGTATGTATTGTCTTTGGATTAGAAAGCATTGTTTGAAACAAAAGTATGCTTTGATGAGAGGACCCTAGGATGAGCCTTTTAAATAAATAAAAAACAAACAAAAAAACCTATTCCTTTACATAGCTGAGATAATAGGCACAAGAGGAATCCCATAAACTTTTGTGTGATTATTTTATCTATCTTAACATAAACAAAAAGATATGCTGATTGAGAAAAAAGTATCAACACATTTTACTGTATATAAGTATAGACCCTTGGTAAAACCAAGCTAGCAATGTCAATGTATTCCAATTGCATAGGCAGTTTTTATTTGAGCACAACTTCAATTATTTTTTCCTCTACCAGCTGAAATTGTTCTAAGAATGCCAGTGGCAGTATTTTACGAGGAAATATGACTCCATAATTAGTTTTTAAATGTATGCCAATTACTTATCTTCTAATATGACCATAGTTAGCTATATTACAGCTACATGTGATTATGGTAATGTACTTATAGGCAGAAATACAATCTACAAACTGAAATGTATTATCTTTAAACGAGACCAGAAGTTTCTCTATCATAGAAAATTTAAACTCTCAAATTATATGATCTTGATTATATTATTACTATTCAGCTCCAAAGTAAATAGTCTGCAGAATCTACCTGCATATGACAAAGTGGAAGTTCCCTTAATGGTTTCATAAAAGAATTTTCAGTAAATGGTTGTTAAACTTCAATGTAATTATATTTCCTTTATGTTTATACTCATTTAAAAATTCTGAACCAAGATTATATGAAAAAATATAATTGGTGTAGCATCTGTTCCTTGAGGAAAATGGAACACATTATTTGAAGTTGTAAGACCTACATTTTAGACAGAGAAAATAAATCCACTATAAAAAGTCATTATATAAATCATGCATTAAATGACCCTGCACAATTTGCATTATTTATACAGGAAAATATAATGAAAACAGGCACAAAAAAAAAAAAAAAAGCTCAGTTTCATAATGTTAACTTTTTTTCTAGAATATAAGTCTCAAAGATTTAGATATAATAAAGGTTTGGTCATTTTCACTGTAAAGTATCAGGAATATTTGACTGACATCATTCTTCTCTTATGAATTCTAGAGAAATTTGTGATGAATGATACCCATGCAAAGATCTGCAGTAAGATCTGTGGTATGAGATGGGTTGAAAGGGTGGTGAAGGCAACTGAAGAGGGGTGTGTCCACCAGTTGTGGAGATCATGGACAGAGCTCAACAACTGGGTGGGAATTTTCTCCAAGTTGCTTCCAACACTCCACCATTGCTAGGCATTTTAGTTATAGAAATGTATAGAGTCCAATATTAATACTTCTATTCAAACTGTGGGTAAAATATACTGGAACATTAAGTTAGAATTTTGTATCTACATGACAGCTGTTTATTAAGATTAATTTCATACATGTATTGAGCACTTATGGGCTAATACAAACTTTTCAGGTTGTGCAAAAAATCCCTTTGCTCCCCTTCATAGCCAAACTTCCTTAATAAGTTATTTCCACATAATATTTCTACTGCCTTCCTTTCCATTCACTCTGCAAGCATTTTAAACTGCTGTTTGCCCTTCTACTCCAATGAAAATAGTCTCATTAAGATAATAATTATCTTCATTATAGAAAGCCAAAGGAAATTTCTGTCCTCATCTTTCCTAAACCCAAATTGCTGGCGCATAATCTGTCTTGGTATCAGGAAAATGTCTTTTCTGCTTTTCTTCCCAACATATTGTCTGCTTTTTCTCATTCTTCTGTGGTGGCTACTCCTACTTTATCTGGCTTCCAATCTTGGCGCTTCTTAGAGCTCTGTTGATTGATGACACCCACATTTATATCTCTAATCCAAACCTCTCTTAGGAGCAATAAATAGTCTCACATATTCAGTAGCTGAACTAACGATCCATTTGGCTATTTCATAGGTATCTTCAACTTAAGTGTCTAAAACATTAACTTTTAATTTCTTTTGCCATGCAAATGTATTTCCTCCTCCCCAGTCTTCCCCATTACTCAGATAATGATGCCATCACTGAGAAACAAATATCGTCTTTGATTTCCTCCCTGAATGATGACCATTTATCTGATCTATTAGGAAATCCCTGTGTTATTTGGAGCCATTCATGTCCCTCTAACCACACTGCTACCACCTTGGTCCAGAACACGATTTTATATTGCCTGTACTACAACAACATCCTCCTAACTGCTCTTCCCACTTCCATTCTTTCCTCCCAACAATTTTTCCTATTCTTTTGTGTAATAGTTAGATTGATCTTCTTAAAATGTATAATTAGTCAAGAAGTACCCTCTTCAAAACCATTGTATTTAAAACAAATCCAAAGTCCTTATATGGCCTACAAGACTCTGCATGAGCTAGCCCCTTTCCATCTCCCTATACACCACACTTCTTTCAGACTCAAAGTCCACAAGATTAAAAAATAAAAACAATGAAATAATATTACATTGTTGTTTTTGTTGTTAGGTGTCATAGAGTTGATTCCAACCCAGAGTAACCCTATGTACAACAGAAAGAAACACTGCCCAGTCCTGCACCATCCTCAAAATTGTTGCTATGTTTGAGGCCAATGTTGCTGCCACTGTGTCACTGCATCTCACTGAAGGTCTTCCTCCTTTTCGCTGACTTTCTACTTTACCAAGCATGATGTCCTTCTCCAAGGACTGATCCCTCCTGATAACATGTCCAAAGAACGTGAGACAAAGTCTTGCCATCCTCACTTCTAAGGAGCATTCTGGCTGTACTTCTTCCAAGACAGATGTGTTTGTTCTTTTGGAAGTCCATGGTATACTCAAT